AAACTGAGGTTAGTCAGTAAACTGACTTATCCAGGATCACATAGCTAGTGTCTGAGGCTGGATTTGAACTCAGGTCTCCCTGGCTTCATGTCCAGTACTCCATCCACTGTACCACGAGCTGCTTCTAAGCTCTATGTTCTGATGGCATGGACTACTTTTTCCTTCTTGGTAGTCACCTTTCTGCTTTATTTTCCTCTCTCCTAAGGTGTCTTGGTCACCACAAAGAAGCATAAATGGCTTTATTCTTAAAATGACATTGGGTGGTGACTTGCAGATGATCCCTTCTTTTAAAAGGCTAAATTACACAATATTTGTATCTGAAACATGACAATCAGCAGATGCCTTGTGTGTGCACACAAGACATCATTAATGGTTTCAATTGTAGAATGATTTGTGCTAGGAGGAACCTGAGAGATCACCTAGCCCAGAGAGTCTTAACCTTTTTACAGGGAGAATTATAGACCTCTTTGGTAGTGTCTGGTGAAGGCTATGGACCTCTTCTCAGAATAATACTTTTAAATGCACAAAATCCAGTTAATTACAAAGGGAGTGAATTATGTTGGAATGCAGCTATCAAAATGTTTTAATACAAAGTTCATAGACTCCAGAAAGAATCCTTAATCTAGTTCAGTCTTTTCATTTTACAGATAAGAAAACTGAGGCCCAGAGAGTTTAAGAGGCAAGTTCACACAGCTTATTAATGATATAGCTGGGACAAGAATCTGCTCTAGTGACTACCAGTGTACTTCTCCTAGGATGAAAATACCAACCCTGGATCCCTAAGAATTCGAATCTGAGATTTCTTGCCCTCTCCAGATCCACATCATCTATCATTAGGTGACTGAGATGAGTCCTTCCCATCAGTCCCACGCTCCCAAGTGACAAGAGACCAAGGAATGCTACTGAATTGCCTGAGGCCAGGTAGAAAAATCACTCCTTGGGTCAGGAATTCGACTCAAAGATCTTTTTTTGTAATTAGCAAATGAAGGAGAAAATTGGTTCAATTCAATAAACATTTATTGAATGTTTACTATATATACCGTGGTACAAAGACAAAAAAATGGGAAAAAAAAGAGTCTGTTCTCAAGGAGCCTACAATTCTACTGAGTGTACATACACATGAGAATTCTACATTCTACTGAGTGTACATATGAACAAATGAGAAAACACATGATAACTGGAGGAGCATTAGCAACTGTGGGTGAGGGGAAGAAAAGCTTCATGGAGGAGAGAGCATGGAAGGAACTGAGCCATGAAGGAAGGAAGTAAAAATGAAACTGTAGGCACATTTTGATTTGACTTTTAATTGGATTAACAACAAACTGTTAGAGATATTCATTTTGTCATTCATTCACTCAGCCTACAGTGTGCTAAGTACTCAAGATGGGGTGGCTGTATGGTGTTATAAGAATAAAGACTAACACTGGCCCTACCCTCAAGGAACTCATTACCTAATGGTAGTGGGGAGAGAAGAGATAATACAGCAGACACACATAGTTATAATATAAGATTCAATGAAGTAATCGCATAGGGGAGGTCAAAGAGTAAGGTATGAGAGATTCATAGAGGGCAATATAATAAAGAGACACATCAGGTAAATATGCACCTGGGCAAATATAGAAATGGAAGACCTGGCAATGTGTTTATATATCCTTCCTCTATCTATATCCTAAGCCAGCTCATTTCTTCCCATTTCAGGTTATCTTCCTTTCTCCTCCTTCTCCTCCTCCCCAAATCAGCGAGTATTTATTCAGCACCCAGCAAAATCATCTCTGATCTTTGGCAGCTTATAATCTATTTGGCAAATGGAACTTTTGTATACAAAGAAATAAAAGACAATGTGAGTCTGTGGTTCATGCTAAATTAGAGTGTCTTCCAAAAGAAAGGAACAAACCAAAGATTTGGGATTACAGTTGTGGTGAAACCTCAGCTGCTTTAATGACTGCTCAGTGGAGATTTGCCTTTATTTGTATTTTTTAGGGTAGAGGTACAATAAATTTCCCACTTGATAATTTCTCCCTTGCTTAATCTCTATTCATATCCTTTCAAGGAGAACTGCTTATATCCCACACTGGTTCCTCTCATTATCATTTCTTTCAATCCTGTCCTGCCTGAGTAGATGCAAAGAACATCAGCCTAAAAGGTAGAAGTAGATTTGAATCTAACTAGCTAATAGAAATATCCAGACCTCAGTTTCCTCCTTGGCAAAATGGGTTGGGATAATCATATCTGCCCAACCTACTTTACAGGGATTGTTGTGCAGATCAATGGGTTAATTTTGAGGAAACATTATTAAAAAGTATACTTCCAGGCATGATTATCTTTGAGGTCCCTGTCCACCTGCTGCACCCCTTCCATGAATTCTGTGATTGGCACATGACAGATCCTTTCAGGACCCATTTGTCCGCATCAGAATTAGAAAATATTTTGGCTTTAAGCTGTACTTATTCCCCATGACTCAGGGGAAATAACTTTTTTTTTTGCAAGCTTTTTTACTTTGAAAAGTGAAGGAGTGACCACATTTCCAGGTTACTGAACAGACCGTATTAACAGAATAACGTGAATGGAATAATCTGAGACTGCCTGAAACAGAGACAAATTTTATCTCCCCCCCAACCTTGTTTTTCCAAGAACGACCTCCTTGTCTGATCTTACCTGTTTTGTGTTACTATAGTTCTAGGGGACAGAGCTCTGGACTGGGTGAAATCAAGAACCCGGAGTCACAGAGTATTGAAGCTAAAAGAGAGCTTAGAAAACAGACATTCCCTTCATTTTGCAGATGAGGAAACTGAGACTCAAAGAGGCAAATGATTTGCTATACAGCACACAGCTAGTAAGTGGTAGGATAATCCAGGTCCCCTGACTTTCAGTCAACTGCTCTCTTTAAGGTTCAGCCAGCCTCTGACTAGTTGTGTGACCTGAACACGCTATCTCTGCGATTTAGTTACCTAATAAACAGAAGGACTTGCTGCAGAAAACCTAGGTATCAGGAGAGGTAGAATAGGGAGTACGATGATAAGGAGCTCCCGAGAAGAGATGAGCTATGCAACCGCGGACGGTGGCTAGTATGTTTGCAAGCATACTAGTAATGAGAAGTGCTCGGGGCTTATCATCACCTACGCTGGGACGGGTGTGGATAGGCAGGCATGCGTGTGTTGGAAAGTCCACGCTACTGCTTCTGGCGTAGAGCCGTTCAGGTGGAGTGAAGCCCTTTCTTCTCTCCCTTTGAGGGGCCGGCAGATGCGCGAGGCAGTGAGCGTGCAATGAGGTAGCAGAGTTACACGTGGAGGGGAGGAAACTTTGTGAAGGCAGGGAGCGAGGTGAGGTGCAGAGGTGCCCCAGGCTGGGAGGTGGGCCAGATCACTTCGGACACGAAGAGCCAGGCTGATCTCAGCCCCTCCGAGGGACTTGCTCCCGACCCTCCCCTTCCCCCTTTCACTCCTACATGAGAGCACAACACACACACACACACACACACACACACACACACACACACACACACACACATACACACCTCTCAGCAACCCGGGATCCGTCAGGAGAGAGGATCCGAACCCGCATCCCAGGACCCAGGCTTCCCCCATCCCTCCATTCGGTAGCTGGCTCGGAGAGGCTCACTGAGCCGTCCCTAGGCCCGCCGATTGGGTACGGACAGGACAGCGGGATCCCGGGAAACCGAGGCTCCCGCTGCCCCAGAAGCGAGTGGAGGCAGCGTGGGCCGGTCGGTAAGGGGAACCGGCGGACCGCTGCTTAGGGAAGTGGCAGTGAAACAGGGGGCCAGCCCCGCCTCCGGCTGCCCACCCAGTTTAGCCGTCTCCTGGGTCGGACCTCTCTTCGCCGGAGCTCGCTCTCCGGGCCGCTGCTCTGCCGGGGCCAACTAGCTGGAGTCTGGCTGTTTGTCTCTCCTTCAGGGACCCGGCTGTCTCCAATCAGGTAAGTTTGCCTGCTTCCACCGCCCGAGACTAATGGCTCACGAACGCCTGTGTTCTTCAAAGTTTATTTGAAATGCGTCCAATACTGAAACCATGCAGTTTTCCTCCCCAAGGTTTCTTTTCTTTCTTTCTTTCTTTCTTTCTTTCTTTCTTTCTTTCTTTCTTTCTTTCTTTCTTTCTTTCTTTCTTTCTTTCTTTCTTTCTTTCTTTCTTTCTTTCTT